CCCCCCCCCCTCTCTCTCTCTCTCCCAAAAGCTGTTGATTTATTAAATCCCTCCCGCCGTCGTCGTCCATAACGCAGCACGGCATGCAAGGTGAGGTCTGCCCCCGGCCCGTCCCAGGTGTCTCCCACAGGTGGGAGAGGGAGAGCGTTAGTACCCCGCGCGTTACGACGACTCTCTGTGCGAGAGAGAGGTGAGAACTGCTAGTAAAGACAAGACGGCAAAAAAAGAAAAATACCTTAAAATTATGTTTTACTTAAATTTATAATTACACAAAACAGAAAAAACCCTCAAAAACTCTCTTGGATTAGTCCAAACAGTGAAGGTTGGAGCAAACCGGACAAAGTTTGGGCCACAGGTCACCAGTTTTTGTTTTTTTCTAAATTCCTCTCCTACGAAAAGATAAGAAAATATTTTTTCTCTCGTGCCACCCTTCTAGTTGACTCTAGACACCTTTCTACTCTTGTTTCTACCCGTTCTATCGCATGAAACAGGCACTAGATCGTTTGCTGAAGCCCGCTCGACTCCCGGCAGCTCGGCGCCTGCGAGACTCGAGGTAGGCCATCCCGCCGTACACACATGCACTGTGGGCAAGATGTTGCCTACCCATCAGGCGCTTTGAGAGCTTGCAGGCCGTGCACTTGGCAGGTTCGTGACGGCGAAAGACGGACGTACTTTCTGGATGATCCCTGGATGTCCAAAACCTCGTTCGACCACGCAGAACGGCGCTGCGTGTCTCATGGTAGTCACTTTTCATGCAGGTCCAAGGATATATACCGTGTCTTTATCCGGTTTTCTTCCGTCGTTGACACAAACTATTAATATCCACTGCGGTTTTAAACGCGCCCTTTACTCAAAGTCAGAGGCGGTTCCCCGGGGAAAGTCGTTTGTTACCCACCCCAGCCTTCGAGTCGCTGAGTCTGCCAACACGAAAGCACTGCGGACAGCCGGAGGGGGTGCGTTGAACAGAACGACGGACATCATCGAGGGGCACTCCACGGTATATTCAGTCGTACACCAATTTTTCTTTATTTTCTCTCGATTTTTCTTGACATTAATTTCTCTGATTTTATCTGATTTATTTTTTACTGACTTTCAAAATGACTTTCTCCTTGATTTTGTCTTATTTTATGGAGGGTGTAATCTTTTTTTTTTTTTTTCTTTTTAAGTGAGGAACCTCTCGGCCAGCTCGCTGGACGCTGGACACGCCACTCTCACCTGTGTGGCACTTCCCCGCAGTCCGGCGGTGGCGGCCCTTCCCCGGGTCACGGGGGACGGTTATCCAGAGCTCGTCGTCGGCCGCGCGGAGCGCTGGACAGCGGACGGCGGGGAGAGCAGGGGGGCGGCGTCGTCGTCGGCGGCGGTGGCGGTGGACCTGTCCACTGGACAGCGCGGAGCTGGGCCGGGGCGCGCCGACGGGGCGGCCATAGAGTCACACTGTGTGGGACGGCCGCAGGGCCCGCCGTGCTGCCTCTGGCGCCTGGCGCTAACTAGGCGAGGCAGGTCCTCCGGAGGGGCTGCTGGGCCTCCAGCCCGGTGGCTGCGCCGTGCCGCCAGCCAGCCGCCGCGCCGCCGAGCTCCCCGCCCCGCGCCCCGCCCGCTCCCCTCCGGAGCTGCCCGCGCCCGCCGCGGGGGTGGGTCGGGTTGCCTACCATTCAGGGGCCTAAGCTGCTTGGGCTGCAGCTGCTGCTGAGGGGGTGGGGTTGCCGCTGCACCACCCCTCCGTGTGGAGTGAAGTGCCCGCGCCCTACCCGCGCCGTTTTGCGACGCTGTGGCAAGTGGCGTTGGTCTCGGGTATTGGCAATGTCGTCATCCGCGGCAGGGTTCATCCAGGATACACTACAAGAACGGCCTGACCGCGGGCCAGAGGCCGCGAGCCTGATTGCGTGAACGGGGTGCACCAGGCGCAGTATAAGCCCCCCCTCCCCCACCCCCAACGTCTCTAGTGATCCCGCCTGATAGGTAGGCAAATGCTACCACAAAGCCTATGTAAGTAGGCAACCCACGGTGCACCGCCCAACTGTCAGCCGGACCTTATACCGCGCCTTGGATGCACACGGTGCATGCCGGGGCCTCACGCCAACCCAAACCCCCCTCCTGCTCTCTCTCTCTAGGACTTCAGAGGGAAGCATAGAAATATATGTATATAATGGGGGATGAGGAGGGGTGGGGGGCGGAGGCCTTCCCCGCAGCAGCCGCCTCAGTCCGCTAGAACATGCGCAGTAGTGAATGCTTCTGCCCCACCCCCCGTGTCTCCCCCTCCTCCACCGAGTGGCGTGCCTACAGAGAGGACATGGTGACGTGGACGACGTGTATATGGCTCCGATCGGTGACGCGGTGGTAGCGGTGAGCCGGGCGGGCGGTGGTGCTCGAGGGTGTCGGCTGGCGGGGACTGCGGCAAACCGAACGGGGCGGGCGACGGACAGACGGGCAGTATAGGGAAGACGGACGGATCGACAGAACGACTCTTCGTCCTTCGGCGCCTCCGGCGGTGGTGGTGGTGGGTAACGGGCCGTCCCAGTGACCATGATCAGGAATCGGATCCGACAGCATCGCACGCTTCACGATGTACACAGGGTTGTATGCAATGCACCCCTCTGGTGCATGACATACCCCTTGTCAAAGGGTGTTTGAGATTGTTTTAAACTGGATGATGTGTGTAGCACACCACCTGGTGCGACCAGTTGACCGCATCATTCGACTCAAAACAAAACCGAATGCAGTCTAGAAAATCAAGGAAACGAAAAAATATGCATAAATTTCAAGAATATATTTTTGGGGGTGTGCGGTGCGGTCAAGCGCTTTGTGGATTTTCTTTTCGTATCTTTCGTCTTGGAAAACACATAGCAAACGAAAGTTTCGCGTTCTTTCTCTTTCTCTCTCTTCTTGTTTCTCTAGAGTAGCCAGAGGGTGTGAGCGGTGACGGATAATGACCGGAATTAGGCCTGGCCGGACGGAGCTGCCCCCCCT